CCTCAGAATGAGAACCATCCCAGGGAGTGTGGGGGTCCTCAGAAGTGGGAGATATAGGGGAGATCTGGGGGTCCTCAGAGTGAGAACCATCCCAGGGAGTGTGGGGGTCTCCAGGATTGGGCATTCTCAAAACTGGAGGATCTGGGGGTAACCAGAGCAGGGCATCCCCAAGAAATAGTTGGGGGAAGGGGCCCCAGGGTTGGGCCTCACCCTTGGCCTCTAATTCCTGCTTTTTCTTCCTCCCCCACGTGTTGTGGTAATTCTCAGCCAGTTGTTCAGCCATGGCCTGCAGGGAGGTGGCATGGGGAAGCTTCAGTCTCAGGACTGGGCTTTGTAGGCACAGGTCTAGCGTCACTTTGTCTCCCCTCCCCCATCTGGCGCCACCCACCCTCACCCCAGGACAAAGTCCTTCTAACAATAAAACTCCTGTTTCTAGACACAGGCCCCACTCCTATTCTTAAGGTCCGGGGATCAAAGGGTGGATGTCCCCAGCAGCCCACCAGAGCTGGGGGGGGGGGTAGCCAGAACTCCTGAGTGAGGATGCAGCCAGAGATCACGGGGGGGGGGGGGGGGGAGGTACAGCCAGAACTCATTAGAGGAGAGGAATGTAGGCAGAACTGATCAAGGGAGGGGGTGCAGCCAGAGCTCATGGCGGGAGGGGCGGGGGATGCAGCTGGAGCTCGCCAGGGGAGGGAGATGCTAGAACTCGTTGGGGGGGTGCTGCCGGAGCTCACCGGGGTGGGGATGCAGTCAGAACTCAGATAGGAGCATTGGGAAGGGACTCAGGGTGTCTCACCTGCAGTTCCCGGGACAGGGTGACACAGCTGAGGTCTGGAGGCTGGGGATTATAGCCCTCCCTCGGGTCATAGGTGGCCTGAGAATGGGAGAGAGGGGCTGCTCAGAGCTAGGGAAGGGTGAGTCAGTGCTGCGTGGGTCTCAGCCCAGCTCCCCACTCCCCTTACCGGGGCATTCTGGGAGATCTTGCGCGTCTTGGTTTTCTTCTCTCCCTTCTCCTCCTCACCCTCACGTGCTTTCTCCACTGTCCATTCCCAGGCGATCATGGCCTTCAGCGACTCCTTAATAGGCCACCGGTAAATCTCCTTGTCCTGGGGTGGGGTGGGGGTTAAGGAGGAGGAAGGCATGTGATCAATAGTCTAGGGCAGGGACTGCCTCGTGGTGGGGAGAAGGAGATCCATGCACACAAGGCCCCAGGATAAGAAACCAAGGTTGGTTGGGTTTCTCAACTAGAAAGAAGAAATGGGTGAGCACAGGAGCCAACAGAGGACCTCAGAGAGACCAGGCCCAGCTCCCTGAGCATTCCGACAGACCCCTGGCAGAAGGTTTGAGTGTGAGACATCTGGACAATCCGTACCTTAACCGCTATTTGTAAGTCAGCGTGGGGGTAATGTAAAGAACATTGAATTTGGAGCTGGAGGACCTGGGTCTGAAGCTTAGCCCTTCTACTATTTATGTGAAGCCTTGGCAAATAATGTCACTCTCCTAGGCCTTGGTTTTGTCCTCTTTAAAAGGTGGAAGGAGGGGCTGGATTAGGACCTCTAAATTTCCTTCCAACTCTCTCTCTCTTTTTTTTTTTTTTTGTGGTGAGGCAATTGGGGTTAAGTGACTTGCCCAGAGTCACACAGCTATCGTGCCACCTAGCTGCCCCCCAACTCTTAATCTATGATCTGATTCCTGCTTCCCCCCCAGTCTGTCTTTCTCACCCTTCCATCTGCATCCTTGGGAATAGGTGAGGGCCCTAGAAACCATAGTCAATCTGAGACATGCTAATCCTGGAACAGTGGGGGCCTTGGTCACAGCTGCAGGTGTCTGGAGCTAGAAGGGAGGAGGCTGGTTTCTGGGGGGCCCAGGACAGGAGAGGTGGAAGATTTGGGGAGCCAGTCCCAGGAGCCAAGTAGTGCTACATGGGTAAGAGAACATTCTAAGGAGATGCCCCTAAACAGGACTGCGGGTCTGAGTTCATGCTCAGTATTACTGGCTAGGGCTGGGGGAGAGTCTGAATACGGAAGTTGGAATGGCATCATTGAGAGGTGAGCAGGGGTCAAGGTTGGCACCTGGGGTCTAAGACTAGGGTACCAGGGCCTAAGTTGGGGCTGGGGGGTTGGGCACCTTTTCTGAGAAGGTCTTGTAGGGCCGAAGCATGTGGTGGGTCTTCAGCTCCTCGTCAATGTTCTCCCCAAACGTCCAATTGTTCTGAATCTGCAGAAGAACAAACGTCAGTCCAGGCCCCTGTCCATTGGGAGCCCAGGGCCCTGAGGAGGGAGCCTTCTGGAGGGGCGGGTTGTTTGGCTGGACATCCCCAAGGGGATCCTTGATTCCTTCCCCCTTGTTGGGGTCCCAGGGAGAAGGAGCTGGGTAGGGAGTGGGTCTTCGAGTCCCAGAGAAGAGCTGAAGGAGCCCCTGAAAGTTAGATTGGAGGGGTCCCAGGGAGGGTTTGAGACGGTGTGGAGGAAGGCTTTGGGGGAGGATGGAGGAGCATCTGGGGGCTGGGGGCTGGAGAAACCTGTTGCCAGCACCTTGTCAAATGCCCACTTCTCATGTGTATATTCTGCAAACTTGTTGATGAAGGAGTCGAGTTTCTCAGGAATGATCACACTGAGGGTGGGAAGAGAATGGTAAATGGGATGGGGTTTGAAGGAATCTGGGATGCCCAGAGACATGCCCCCAGCCCCAGCTTTTCTTCCCCCACACTCCCAGCCCAAGGCCTCCCCTCTTCCTTCCACGCCTGAGACGGCCTCACTTGAGCGTCTCCACGGGCCGAGGGTCAAAATTGCCTTCTGCGTCCACACTGGCCTTTTTCTCGGCCTTGGAGGAATAGGAGGCATCCACATAGTCTGGGGGCAGGGCCCCTGCGATGGCGCACAGACACGGCATGGACATGCGGTAGAGTTCTGGGTCATATTTCTGTAGGGGCCCAAGGGGTCACTGTGAGGCCGGAGCCCCAGCTCTGCCCAATGCCCGCCTGCTCAAAGCAGGGAGGGGGAAGCCTGAGTTGTACCTCCCTGAGATGCCCTCCTCCCTACAGCCAGGATCCCCGAGTCCCCAGCTCACTCAGTGACTCCTACCCCTATCCCCACACCCAGGAGCCCAGAGCTACATCCTCCCAATACCCTTCTCTTCCCCTAAACCCTCAGACTTTGGAACCCAACAGATGCACTGCCTCTTCCCTGAGACCCCCCCCGCCACATACCCTAACAGTAAGCACGAGCAAACACCCAACACCTTGGGAATGCAAGCCCTCGCGGACCAGCAGCTTCAAATTCCCACACCCAACAGCCCTGAAGACAACATTCCCTAAACGTTCAAATTTCCAAGACCGTCAGATAAAATACTCTCTCTTTTCTGGCTTCTTCCATGAACCCCAGATCCAGGGAGGCTGAACCCTCAAATGATCTCAACACACATCCCAATTCCTCAAACCTGATGGACACCCTCCCTTCTTCCCTGCACCCGCACGGTTCAGGGACCCCATTCCCCCTTCATGCTCCCAACCTGCTGAACTCTAGGAGTCTTGCCGGCTGTCTTTCTGGGTCCCCACTGCTTCCTTCCCCCACCTTGCTTTCAGAACTCTTGCCTCCCTCTTGAGCCCCCCATAACTCAGGGTTGACACTCCCAGCCCACTGTCTTCCCACTCACCATGCCCCCACATCTTGGGGTCCTTGCCATTCCACTGGTTTCTTCCAGGAGCCCTCCCCCAACTTTTGATCCCTTGCCACCCCCCAGCCCATGGCCTCCCCTCTTGGGCCCTCACCTTGTGGGCCAATGACTCAAAGATGCCCCAGAAAAGCTTGCGAGTCAGATGCAGCTCCTCCTCAGAGGTGACTCCGTAGTTGGCCCAGCCCGTGGGGAGGCAGTAGTACTTCCAGCAGCGCTCATAGTGATTGGTCAGGAGCTAGGGAGGAAGGAGGGAAGGAGGGAAGGAAGGGAGGAAAGAAGGAAGGAAATGAGGGAGGGAGGAAAGAAGGAACAAAGAGAGGGAGGAAAGGGGGAAAGAAGGAAGAAGGAGAGGGAGGGAGGGAG